TTTTTAAGTATTCACTTATCTACAAAATAATTATTGAGGGGCACGAATGACAAGATCAGATATGGTTCCCTTAAAGCTCTAGCTGCTTGGAAATCTGAATGAGAATATTGCTTCTCTGTAGTTCTAATGTTAGGGATAACCACCTAACTCAGAGAGAAACATCTTATGAACCTATTAAATGATATTACATAACAATCCTAACTCAGATTACTAATCATAGACTATTACTCATTGTTTAATGATTAGCCCTGCCCTGTTTATGTTTATTTGTGAGGAGGGCTGTTTAGTATCTCTCCCTCCCCCAGCTTTATTGACATATAATTGACATATAACATTCCTTGTGTAAGTTTAAAGTGTTCAACGTGATGATTTTATATATATACATATACATGCACACATATATACACATATAAATATGTATATACGTATATTGCAAAATGATTACCATAGTAAGGTTACTTAAAACATCCATCACTTTACATAACTTTTTTTTGTAGTGAGAACATTTAAAATATACTTTCTTAGGAACTTTCAAGTATATAATACCACATTTTTAACTATAGTCACCATGCTGTAAATTAGCTCCCCAAAACTTATTCATCTTACAACTGGAAGTTTTCACTCTAACCAACTTATCCCCCATGCCCCCACTCCTGGCAACCACTGTTCTACTCTCTATTTCTACAAATTTGGCTTTTTTTTACATTCCACAGAGGTGAGATCATACGGTATTTGCCTTTCTCTGACTTATTTCACTTGGCATAATGTCCTAAAGGTCCACCTATGTTTTTGCACATGGCAGGAATTCCTTCTTTTTTTTTTTTTTTTTTTTTTTTTTTGTGGCCTAAAAATATTCTAGTGTGTGTGAGTGTGTGTCTTACATTTACTTTATCCACTTATCTCCTGAAGGACACTTAGGTTGTTTCCATGTCTTGGCTATTGGGAATAATGCTGAAAAGAACAAAGGGTACAGATACCTCTTTAAGATAGTGATTTCATTTCTATTGAACATATACCCAGAAATAGGATAACTGGACCATATGGTAGTTTTATTCTTAATCTTTTGAGGAACCTCCATACTGTTTTTCATAGTGGCTCCATTAGTTTATATTCCCACCAGCAGTCAGCAGGTGATCCCTTTTCTCCACATCCTTGCCCACATTTGTTATTTCTTATCTCTCTGATGACAGCAATTCAAACACATTTGGGGTGACATCTCATTGTGGCTTGATTTGCATTTTCCTGATGACTGATGTTGAGCACCCTTTTCTGTATCCACTGGCCATGTGAATATCTTCTTTGGAAAAATGTCTACTCAGTTCTTATGCTCCTTTAATCAAAAATGATCACATTGGTTTTTAACTCACTTGTTCCTCAACATAGGTTCAGCCTCTGATAAGAGTCAGTGAGCACAAGGGAGATAAACACCAAATTACATCTGTTTCTTTGACAGTGTAGCCTGGTGATGTTCAGTCTGGACTTTATAGAGTATAGAACGTATACTTTCTTAGTTGGCATCCAGTAACCACTTTTATGAGATAGACTTTGGAGTCACACAGATTTAGGGCCATATCCTATCCACGTGACTTACAGCCAGTGTGTATGCGGCAAATAACTAGAACTGTCTAGGCTTCCATTGCCTAATCTATGAAAGTTTGCATTATAGCTTTCTTGAGAATTAAATAAAATAATCTATATAAAACACTTTCATAGTTCTTCAAATGTGCTAATCTTTCAAAAAAAAAAAAAACTAGTAATGAGAAAGGCAGCTCCTGTCAACATGGAGTAAACACACTCCACCCATCTCTCCCACTGAATATAACTAAAAATCTGAAACAGAATTGATGCAGCAGGCACACGAGGACACCGAAAAGTAAATGGTAGCAGCCCAGTTGGGAAAAGGAACTAGAACCTGAAATACCACCAAACCAGCAGTGAGTTTCTGTTTTTTCTTTCCTCTGATAGCTCCTAACCTGGGTCAAAGGCCATCTAAAACCCAGAACTGCTGCACTGGGTATGGGGAGAAAGAGCTTCAGGAGAAGCCCTCTATTTAGTTTATCTAAAGCAACAAGTTAGCTGGCACCTATGAGAGAGAGTTGGGGAAAACCTGGTTTTTCCTTTTTTCCTTTCTATCCAGTCCCAGCCCCCAGCCAATCCTGCAGCAGCTGCAGAGGCAGCAGCAGCCAAGTAGGTACCTAAACTCTTATCTCTGGTCAGAGAAGCTGTGTCCCAAGCATTCTTCCCCATTGCTTTCCTTCTCTGTCCTGTTGCTGTTTAGTCCTGGAGGCACACAGTCATGGGAAGTGTGCGGTAGAATGGGGAAATTAAAAGTCTGGCTTTCTAGCTAGAGGAATGGGAAGGAAAACCATTGGAAACCAGAAAGAGTAGAGAAGAATCACAGAGAGAAGGGAACTCAAGAAAACAATTGCAAAGAATTGTATATGGACTGGACGCACCCTCCAGGTGATCTATATGCATAAAGTGACCCTAAACGTCATTCTGAAAATTTTGAGACCGGAATCACAAGAGAAGACCACTGCCCAGACCCCAGCTAGTCACAGAGTTGTGTACAGGTGGGACAGATCCAAATAGCATTGCAAAGGTCTTGAAACTAAACTGACATTAGAACCATATTCCACAGGAATGCCTGGGTGGCTCAGTTGGTTAAGTGTCTGACTCTTGGTTTTGACTCAGGTCACGATCTCACAGTTTTGTGAGTTCAAGCCCCACATCGGGCTCTGCATTGGCAACACAGAGCCTGCTTGGGATTCTCTCTCCCCTCCCCACCCCCCAGCCCTTCCCCCACTGTGCTGTCTCTGTCTCTCTCAAAATAAATACATAAACTTAAAAAAAAAAACCCATATTCCACAGAAGTTGGGTAGGAAAACTGTTACCCTAACCTAATCAGATTAACTGCTTTAAAAAAATTCTCCATAAGATTTAAACAAGACTGAAAACCACATAATATTTAAAATTGCTAGTATACAGTACACAATTACTTAACAAATGAGGAAGAGAGAAAATATTAACATTTGGCAAGGGGAAAAGACAATTAAGTAATGCCAAACCCCAGATAACACAGATGTTAATACTCAAAGACTTTTAGTGACTATTATAACCATGTCCAAGAAATAAAGCCAAACTCTCCCAAAATGGACAGAAAGACTTAAAAACTTTGCAGAGAAATGTAAGATTTTTAAAAAATGGAAATTTTAGAGTGGAAAACCACAATAACCAAAATTTAAAATTCACTGAATGGGAGCCACAGTAGATTTGGGATCAAAGAAGAAAAAAATCAGTGAACTTGAATATAGATCAATAGAAACTTTTCAATCGTAAGAAAAAAAAGGAAAAAAGCCTCAAGGACTTGTGGGACAATACTAAGTGGTCTAACAATTGTGGCGTAACAGTCCCTGTGGGAAAGGAGAAATAGTATTGTCCCCCAGAAAAAACTTTTGAAGAAATTATGACAGATCATCAGTTACCAAGGTTTGAGGTGAGGGGAGAATTTGGCTAAAAGGAGAGCAAGGAGTCTTTGGTGTGATGGAATTGTTCTGTATCCTGATGGTGGTGGCTGTCACATGAAATTATATACACGTTGGAACTGCATACCAAAAAACTCCGTTTTCACTATATGTAAATTTTTTAAAAGAGTTTTTAAATATTTATTCATTTTTGAGAGAGAATGCGAATGAGCATGAGATGGGGAGGGGCAGAAAGAAAAGGAGAGAGAGAATCCCAAGCAGGTGCTGCACCGCAAGCCCAGAGCCCCACACAGGGCTCGAAACCATGAACCATGAGATCATGACCTGAGCCGAAATCAAGAGTTGGGCACTTAATCGACCGAGCCACCCAGGGGCCCCCCACGTAAGATTTTAAATGATCTCCTTTAATTTTAAGACACTTGGCTTGACACCTTTAGATGAATATAAACCTGTAGAACAATATTTGCTGCCAGAATTTATTTAAAGTGGCTGAAAGGTGAGTCTCAATCCTTGAAAAACTATTTAATGTCTCCTTTTTTTTTCTTTTTTTTTTAATCCTTTTGATGCCCTCTCTTCTTTTCCTATCTCCCTGGTGCTCTTACTCTGTTTCCTTTTTTCTCTTCCTCCTTTTTTTTCGGTCCCTTTGTCTTTACCCTGTCTTCACTGATCATATATTGTCTTGAGCTATATATCTTATGTTATATTTCTGTCACTGAAAAAATAACAATGTTTACCTCTTTACTTTTTTAAGTTGAATGAACATTTTATATTTCTCTTTCAAAATTAAAATATTCTGTCAGTTACTTGCCAACTTGAGTTCTGTCCATGAATGATTTTCAAAACTGTTGCTTTCCCTTTGAATGCTGGGGTGGGGGGTGGGAGGCTACTCTCAGAAGGGGGTAGAGCCGCCCACCCACCCCCCTACCCCCCACAAGGGAGTAGGTGGATCTTCCCCCTTAAAGCTGATGTAACTATCATTATTTTGTATTATGAAGATAAAAGTTTACCTAGTCTAGATTCTTTTAAAAAAGTTATACCAGAGGTGAAATTATGCCTATTTCTTTTGCATATATAAAAAATATTTTTGAGAGGCACATGTAGCAATTTCCCAATAATGCATTCATCTTTGTCCTATACTCCTGTGAAGGCAACATATTTTGTTTACAACCAAGTAGATATATACGGAACAATCATCTAGGAGAAAGGTAAAGGTTAAGGTTAAGGTTAACTTGCAAATGGCTGGTACATGGATAATATGATAATATTACTGATATTATCAGTATACCATGCTAATCAGGAATTGAACACCAGAGAAGAGTACCAGGTTAAGAAGAAAAATGGGTTTGGAAGATTATATTAGGAAAAACATAAAGAAAAAACTTGCTTGTGAATTTATAAGGTAAAGCTAGAAAGAGTTTGGTAGACTAAGGATTTTGATAGAAAGAGAAAATTTGAGCCAGCTCATCATATAAAAAGGGAGGTTTTTGCATAACCAAAAGAGAAAAGATGTTTTACTCTTATCTCCGCTGTTGTCTTCATGTTTTCTTCTGCTGTCCTTTCCACCTTCATCCTCTGAGTTTTCTACTTCCTGGATTACCATTCTCTTCCCTTTGGTTTCAGTCTTAGGTGCAGGTTTAGAATTTTTCAGATCTCTTTCAACCTCCAACAAGGTCTTCTGCAACATAACCACCGTGTTAAAGAAAATTTCTTCCTTTAATTAAAAACATAACCATCCTGTCAGGTAGGAATATGAAGATATTAAAAAGTGAATAAAGATATCTAAGATAACACTTTTTATGGTGACCTTTCTTTCCTTTTTCAAACAACTTCATTGGTTTGTCTGATTATAATCATACATGTCCATGGTTAAAAACTTAAAGCATAATGAGCATGAAAAAGAAAGAAACCACCTGAAATCCTACCACTCTGATAACACTGACATTCTGACATTTCTACATATATTTTTACATGTATGTATACACAGTGAGACACAGTTTTATACAAACAAAATCATGACTCATTTTTTTTGAAGTAATGTTAAAAGTTCTACATGTTTTATGCCAATTAGAATGAAAAATACACATATATCAAAATATTTTTCTTCCCTCCCTTCCTCCAATTTTTAACAGCTTACAGAGGTATAGCTGACAAACTTGTATACTTCAAATGCACATGTTGATAGCTTTTGACCATAATAAATATATCCATCATTCCCAAGTTTCTTCCTGTTTCTTTCAACTATCTCCTTTTTGGCCCTCCCCTGTATCAGCTGTTCTTTTTGTTATGATAGGTTAGTTTATATTTTCTAGGATTTTATATAAATAGAATCATACTATATGTACTTTGTTTTTTACTCAGCATAAATATTTTGAAATTCACCCACACTGTTGTATATCTCTATCAGTTCATTCCTTTTTATTGTGAGTAGTAGTCTATAGTACGGATATAACAATTTATCCATTCACCTATTGAAATATGTTTAGGCTGTTATTAATTTTTGGCAATAAAAAAGCCATTATGAACATCTGTGCATAAATCTTTGTATTGACATATGCTTGCATTTTTCTTGGGTAAATACATAGGAGTGGAATGGTTAGATCATACGGTAGGTGTATGATTTTAAGTTTATTTTTTTCACAGGAAAATATGTATTTTAATTTACCATACATATTTACATTTTAGGAAGTTGCTAGGTCGGTACATTTTCCTCTGTAGGTTTAGTTTGAGCTTCAGTTAGCATTTTCCAAGATCTTTCCAATGACTTATCCCCTATTGTAACATGTGCTCTTAAGTGTATAGGTAAAGACAGACCCTGGATTCTTCATACAAGATTCAACTGGGTGGTTTGAAGATTGTGAACTGCTGACACTTCCTAATGGAAACAAATACTTGTTCTTGGACTAAAAGGACCCTCACTCACATCAATGAAGTGACCAATCTGTGTAGCTTGACTATTCTCTCAGGGTTCTGAGATGACTGCTCTTCTATGAAATCCATTTTATACATGCTGTGTTGAAATATCTCTAATGTCATTTTTGTTTCCACTTCCAGAGTTTCAAACGGAAGATGTTTATAAATTAAAACACGAGCATCTTCTCTGAAGGAACACAGGTTCTCTTTTGTTGGCATCCACTTATCACGTCTCTTATCCAGAACTGCATCATAGCAGAAGGCTCCAGAGATTACAGAAACCTCTGGAGCTCTGACCAAACTGACCACACATTCATCTTTGAATGCTCACCATCATGGCACAAGAATGCTAATAAGCCTTATTCATTTGTACTGGACCATGATCTTTGAAAGTAAGGAATTCAATTTCCTGGGATGTGGTCAAAGGTTTAAACATGTCCCCAGGTTGTCCATCCACAAGACCCAGAATTGACTTCCTGCAGGATCATTCACTTAAATGGATAGCACAACTATAAGGAGTTGAAATGTTTTTATTCGTCACAAAGACAGTGCCAGGGTCAGTTTTCTCATCGTGTTTAAATTCAGTCTTCTCGGGGCGCCTGGGTGGCGCAGTCGGTTAAGCGTCCGACTTCAGCCAGGTCACGATCTCACGGTCCGTGAGTTCGAGCCCCGCGTCAGGCTCTGGGCTGATGGCTCAGAGCCTGGAGCCTGTTTCCGATTCTGTGTCTCCCTCTCTCTCTGCCCCTCCCCCGTTCATGCTCTGTCTCTCTCTGTCCCAAAAATAAATAAACGTTGAAAAAAAAAATTAAAAAATAAAATAAAATAAATTCAGTCTTCTCAGTTTGAGGAGTTAATGATAACTGCCTGTTTTTCTCTTTATTAAAGAGATCATTCTGCATTATTTGCTTGTTTGCTTCTTTGTTATTGAGTTTTGAGAAGAACTTAACAGTTCTTCCTCAACTTATAATGGGGTTATGTCCTAATAAGCCCATCGTAAATTGAAAATGCATTTAATACACCTAACTTACCAAACATTGTAGCTTATTAGCCTAGCCCACCTTAAACGTGTTCAGAACACTGATATTACCCTATGGCTGGGCAAAATCCTCCAGCACAAAGCCTATTTTATAATAAAGTGATGAATACCTCATGTAATTTACTGAATACTGAAAGTGAGAAACACAGTGGCTGTATGGGCACAGAACAGTTGTGTCTTGCTTTCCCTATGTGACCACATGGCTGACTGGGAGCTGCCACTCACTGCCCCTGCCCAGCGTATCGCTAGCTCGGAAGAAAATCAAAATTCAAAATTCAAAGTACAGTTTGTACTGAATACATATCACTTTGGCACCATTAGGAAATCAAAAACTTGTAAGTCAAAACATTGTACGTTGGGGACCATGTGTATTTTCGTGATGCAAGTCCTTTGTTGGATATACAACTTGAAAATATTTTTTTTCCTTAGTCTGTGGTTTGTCCTGTTTTTTCTTCTGATGATGTCTTTCAGAGAGCAAAAGTTTTAAATTTTAATGAAGTCCAATTTACCAACTTTTTCTTTTATGAATTTTATCCTATGTTTCCTTCCAGAACTCTTATATTCTAGGTTTTACACTGAGGTATATGATCCATTTTGAGTTAATCTTTGCATATAGTTAAAATATAAATGGTTAAGTCTTGAAAGTTAATATGTAAATATGAAATTATATTGGGTAGTGACATTAAAGGTGGTTCTGCTTGTTTAAAAATTTTTTTTAGAGAGGGGCATCTGGGTGGCTCAGTTGGCTGAGTGTCTGACTCTTGATTTCAGCTCAGGTCGTGATCTCACAGTTCGTGGGATTGAACCCCGTGTTGGGCTCTGTGCTGACAGTATGGAGCCTGCTTAGGATTCTTTCTTCCTCTCTCTCTCTGCTTTTCCCACTCACATGCACTTTCCTTCTCTCTCTCAAAATAAATAAACAAGAAAAAAATTTTAAGAATATTGTCATACAAACTTTTCAATAAATATACCACCATAAACTGGAAATACTATGGGAAAAAGACGTATTTTTTTCAGCTGGGCCCTAAACCTAATCCACGGAAATGCTGACTTGATAAATCCACCAGGGACATTAACTGCTACTGAGAGAGTGAGACAGATAACCCAAAAGGTGCACGTGGAAACAGCGACAACTTACTGCTGGAAGTTTCTCCATGGGTTTCTCGTATTTCTAGGTCTGTTGTGAGCAGAGGCAATAAATGACATTTGTTCCGGACTATCTTTTTGAGGATGTTTGTACTGAGAACAACTTTGGAAAACAGAGAGTATTTCCCTTCAGAAAAGAGAGAGGTATATTTGCTCTCCAGTATAATAAAGATATTTCCCTCTGGAACAGAATTTTGGATAGGTTTGCTTGTATTCCACTATAAAAGATGGGGGATTCCTAAATTTGGGATTCCTTGGCTGTGATATAAACTTGCTGAGTGTGCAGCATCTATCTGGGCCACTCTGCACCTCCCTGGGGCACTTGGGGGCCAGGGCAACTGACGTGAACTTGAAGCTCATCAGTTTGCTATAGTGTGAATAACACAATACTTTGTGTCTAACCCAGAAGTCTTGCTTCTTCTGCTAGGCTAGCTTGTTAATTTGCAAGAAGGGTAAAATCTCAGACCCCTCACTGTTCTCAACACTTACCTCTACTCTTTAAGCCTCAAAACAGAGCCCAGAGTGCATATATGAATCAGTCTGCTCAGTCAGGCAGCAAACACTGTCAGTGGTGCTATGCTTACCATGCACTCTTCTATGGCCATGGAGCGCGTGCCTAATCCTACCTAGGAAACTTCCATACCACTCTGCATGATAAATTGAGATTGGCTCAGAGAAAAGCATTGCTTACAACACTGCAGGAAAGAGAAAAATTAAATATCCCCATTGTATGATATCACTTATATGTGAAATCTGCAAAAGCCAAATTCATAAAAACAGAAAGTAAAATGGTTTTAACCAGGGGCTGGTGGGGTAAGGACACTGGGGAGATGTTGTTTAAGGGTACAAACTTGCAATGAGTAGATAAATAAGTTCTGGAGAGCTAATGCATAGTATAGAGATTACAGTCAGCAATACTGTATCCTAAACTTCAAAGCTGCTAAGAGATTAGATCTTAATTGTTCTTACCACAAAAGAGAAATAATTATGTGATATGACAGAGGTCTTAGCTAAAGCTAAGGTGGTGATCATACTGCAATACATAAATGTATCTAATCAACATATGTACACCTTATACAATGTTATATATCTAAATCAATAAATAAATATTTATCCTTCAGAAGTAGGCTTATAGTTTTGGACAATTTAAAAGCCTGCTTTCTTCCACTTCAAATAGATATTAACACTTTAGGGTGTTCGGGATATACCTAGTTTTTAAAGCTGTGACCTAATTCTCAACATCATTCATCCAGCAAGACTGATATCATTTTAACATAAATACAGAAATAATAGAATTAGGTGAGGAATCACTTTCTGTACTTACTTTGGCCAACTCATTATCAGGTTCAACATTCAGTACTTTATTCAAATCTTCTATAGCTTCCTGGAGCTTGTTTTGATGTTTATATGTAGTGGCACGGCGCAGAAGAGCTGAAAATTTACCGAGAAAAAGTTATATCTTTTAATGTACACTAGCATGGTTAGAACATATTTTTCTTTTCTTTTTTTAATGTTTATTTGTTTTTGAGAGAGAGAGAGAGAGAGAGCTAGCAGAGGAGGGGCAGAGATAGAGGGAGACACAGGATCTGAAGCAGGCTCCCAGCTCTAAGCTGTCAGCACAGAGCCGGACGCGGGGCTCAAGCTCACAAACCACAAGATCATAACCTGAGTTGACGTAGGCCACTTACCCAACAGTCACTCAGGTGCCCCTAATTTGGTAACTATTTAAAACTGATAATGAATGCCTTTATAGCCCCATCATTATCCAGGTATAATGAGAGAACTTTGTATAGTTATTATTTTGAGAAGAATCAGGCTTAGAAATTTTGAAAAGTAAGAATTTTATATCTATTTTAATATGCTATTTTAAAATGTAAATTTGACCAATTTGCTTCTAGTCTTAAAATGAGCCATGAATCAAACCATAAGAGACTCTTAAATACAGAGAACAAACTGAGGGTTGATGAGGTAGGGGCAGGAGAGAGGGGAAAATGGGTGATAGGCATTAAGGAGGGTACTTGGGATGAGCACTGCGTGTTGTATGTAAGCGATGAATCATGGGAATCTACTCCCGAAGCCAAGAGCACACTGTATACACTGTATGTTAGCTAACCTGACAATAAATAATATTAAAAAAAAAAAAAAAGAATGAGCCATGAACCTCTGGTTTCTGCACACCCATGTTCACAGTCACAAAAGATTACATTCAATGTGAAAAAAATCAAGTGTTTATATTTACTCAAATACATAAACACTTAAAGAAATAGAGTCCGGGTGCCTGGATGGCTCAGTCAGTTAAACGTCTGACTCGGCTCAAGTCATGATCTCATGGTTCATGAGTTTGACTCCCACATCGGGCTCTGTGCTGACAACTCACAGCCTGGAGCCTGCTTCAGATTCTGTGTCACCCTCTCTCAGCCCCTCCCCTGCTCACACTCTGTCTCTCTCTCTCAAAAATAAAATAAACATTAAAAAAAATTTTTTTAAAGAAATAGAGTCTATTGTAAATTATGCTACTCCCTTGTGGAGTGATTGCTTCTTGATAACAGAAAAGGAAAGCAAAGTCTGACTTGTATACCTTGGACTTAGACCATGGCAAAGTTGTGCAGTCACAGAGACAGGAAATCAGAACAGAGTGCTGGTGTTGGTGAAAACATATAGTTGGTTTTGGACACATTTAAAATGTCTATGGACATATAAGTGGAAATGCCCACAAAGCCACTGGTAGAAGGTTCTAGAGCTCTGGTGTGGGCTTATTATATTAATAAATGTTAGAAAATCTGTATTAAATTACACTTAGATATTTTTTGGATAAAAAGATAGTTTGATAAGTAAGTAACAAGAAGGCAAATATTGGGACACCTGGGTGGCTTAGTCGGTTAAGCATCCGACTTCTGCTCAGGTCATGATCTCATGGTTCGTGAGTTCAAGCCCCACATTAGGCTCTCTGCTGTCAGCACAGAGTCCGCTTCGGATCCTCTGTCCCCCTCTCTCACTGCCCCTGCCCCGCTCATTCATTTTCTCTCTCTCTCTGTCAAAACAAATAAACATTAAATAGAAGATTTTAAAAAAAGACAGGGGAGCCTGGGTAGCTCACTTGGTTAAGCATCCCACTTCGGCTCAGGTCATGATCTCATGGTTTGTGAGTTTGAGCTCAGAGCCTGGAGTCTGATTCAGATTCTGTGTCTCCCTCCCTCTCTCTCTGCTCCTACCAAACTCACACCCCTGGCATTATTAACTACTTCAATACAAATAACCAGGAATTCAAATTCTAAGTTAAACTTGAAGTTAAAAGTCACTTTATGAAGATGATGATTCACATATAGAAATTAGAGTGTATTTGAAATATTCTTAGTATAATTACAGTGTGTACAAATGGTCCAACAAATCCTGATGTAAATTTAAAGCATTCTATGAATAGTTTTTACCCTTTAAGTTTCCAGGTTCTAACTCCAACACCTTTTCACAATCCTGAAAAGCACTGTTCCAGTTCTGTAGCTTGAGTTCTGCTTGAGCGCGATTGTTATAGGCCACTACATTGGGAAGCACTGATATACTCCTACAAGAGAGACACTTATTGGCAACAAGTTGACCAGAGGAAAACATATGAAGATAGAGAAACTCAGGTAAAGTTGTAAAGAGAACAATCATAGCCCATGCCATGGGTGGCATTGTGTCCCCAAAACTCATGCTGAAGTCCTCATCCCCAGTAGCTCAGAACATAACTATATTTGGACGTTGTCTTTACAGAGATGATGAAGTCAAAATGAGGTCATGATGGTGTACCTTCGTCCAATATGACTGGTGTCCTTATAAGAAGAGATTAGAACACAGACACATGCCGAGGAAAGACCACTTGAAGACACAGAGAGAAGACAGTCACCTACAAGCCAGAACAGGGGCCCAGAAGACGCCAGCCCTCCTGACACTTTGATCAGATTTGTAGCCTCCAGGATGGTGAGAAAATACATTTCTGTTTGAGCCCCTCAGTCTGTGGCACTTTGTTATGGCAGTCCTAGCAAGCTAATACAGCCTGCAGGATCAAAAGCAATAAAATACAGCTCTGTAAACATACTGAATCACTATTTACACAGATGCTTAAATATCCAGTTAAGCAGTTTAAGGTTGGCTCTGGCTTTACAAGTGACATGGTAACCTAAACGCCCATAGATCTCCTAAAAAACCAGTTTAGTTAACATCAAATACATGTTTTGACCCCTTACAGACAATTTCCTAGTACAAAAAAAATGGAGCAATCAATCACAACTAATACCCTTTATTAAGCTATTATGTTGAGTTTAGTTTATAATCTAAAAACAGGAGTTTAGCTTATAATCTAAAAGATTTAACTCTAAGGCAATGCTCATAATTTAATCTGAGAAGTTTAACTGAAGAAAAACAGGTGCGTAGTAGTAACTGAGGAATACAGACTTTACGAGCACATTTTGTTGTGTTAAGAGTATGAATGCAAAATAACTGATGAGAGAAGGAACTTACAACCTACTTGGTTGCTGTTTAAAAAGTTGATTTGGAATGCTGTGAAATAATGTATTCCGAAGTATAGGAAAGATAAGGGTATTGGTGCGTTGAGTTTTCTAAATCCAGAAGAATAGAAGATGAAAATGGAAGAGCCAGAAAAAGTAGCAATTTACTAAGATCATTAAAGATAATTATAAAGCAATGACATGGTTGGGTAGAGACCAAACACAGAAAATACAAGTAAGAATAACTAATACAAGTACCTGACACTGAGCACTTCCCACGTGCCAGGCACTCAACACTAAGCTCCTTTAATTCTCACTACAATCCACGAAAGACATATTACTGCTCTTCCTACTTTACGGATGAAAAAAAATGATGTAACAGAAAGGCTAAGTAACATGCCCAAGGCCACAAGTTAGTAAATGAGAATCAGGACTCAAACCCAGTCTACTCCAGCACCTGCTATTGTTACCACCGTGTTATCCTGCCTTTCAGTATGTTGCTTTATTTAGTCCTCACAGCTGCTCCGAAGTAGGCACTACACCAGAGTCATCACACTGAGAAAACTGAGGCAAGAGAGGTGAGGAATCTGCCCGACGTCAGAAAGTGGCAGTCTGAGTTCCTTTAGCCATTATGCCATGCCGCTTTACTTTTTCCCTCTTTGATTTCTTTTTTTTTAATTTTTTTTCTTAATGTTTATTTTTGAGAGAGACAGAGAGACAGAGTACAAAGGGGAGGGGCCGAGAGAGAGAGGGAGACACAGAATCTGAAGCAGGCTCCAGGCTCCGAGCTGTCAGCACAAGGCCCAACAGGGCTTAAACTCACAGGCTGTGAGATCATGACCGGAGCTGAAGTTGGACGCTTAACTGACTGAGCCACCCAGGTGCCCCTCCCTCTATGATTTCTTAAAAGAAGACAAGAAAAATTTTGTTCCCTATAATAGACTAAGACACTCCGCTGGTGGAAATCTACAAAAAGAGAACAACATCAGTATTGATGTCCATCTATCTGAAAGGGGAAGACTATACTGAATAAAAGAACATACCTTGTATGTCCACCTAATCAGAAGAGATAAAATGCTTTAGAGACACAACATTGAAAAAGAAAATCTTCTTTTCAAAGGTGGATAAAAGTTTGTAGAGAGTTTATTTCTAAAATGGTGTAAGGGATTCTATAAGCACAATTAGTTTGTAACAATGTTTTAGGAAATTAGTCTACTTTTCATGGACTATAAGAGCTTCAAAAGCTCATATAAGTATTTATTGAACATCTACTATGAACCAAGAACTTTGTTGGACACTGGGAATACAAAGGTATAAAAAAACTGACAAGGGCACTATGCTCTGACAGAGCTTACAGTCTACTTACTATCAAATCACACGAACTTAAATTATACCTCCAATAAGTACCACAAAGGAGAGGCAAGACTGGGGGCGCCTGGGTGGCTTGGTCGGTTAATCGTCCGACTTCGGGTCAGGTCATGATCTCACGGTCCGTGAGTTCGAGCCCCGCGTCGGGCTCTGTGATGACCGCTCAGAGCCTGGAGCCTGTTTCAGATTCTGTGTCTCCCTCTCTCTCTGCCCCTCCCCTGTTCATGCTCTGTCTCTCTCTGTCTCAAAAACAAATAAATGTCAAAAAAAAAATTAAAAAAAAAAAGGAGAGGCAAGACTGATACAAGAGCGTGTAAATTGGGGGTTAAGGGTGGGGAGGAGTGGAGGGTAGGGTAAAGATTTAACCTTGTCTGGAAGGTAAAGGAAGACTTCCCCCAAAGAAGTAAAGCATGGGATGAGATCTGAAGGTAAGTTAGAATTAACTAGATAATGAGAAAAGGAAAGAATATTTTACACAGAGACCCAGCATATGCAAAGACCCTGTGGTGGGAGGTAGTATCATAAGTGTCATGATTAAATCTAGGCAGTATGACTACAGAACCTGAATTCTTAACCTCTATGCTATATGGACTTTCTGTCGAGTTCCATTCAGATGCCTTCTATTTTCTCTGTCAAATAGGAAAGTTAGGACCTCTGTCAAAACTGGGGGTGGGGTGGGGAGCTTAAAGGGTTGAGAAAAAGTATTTAAAAAACAAACCAAACACAAGTAAATTTATGATAAATCATAAGTATAATATCTTAAATGATTCTGAAAGACTTTTTATTTATATCATTTCAACAATAGAAACATTATCTTTTTTTTTTTTTTTTTTTTTTTTTTTTTGTTTTTTTTTAAAGGGGAAGTTTAAACCACTACAAAGGGTTCCTGGCTGGCTCAGTTGGTAAAGCATATGACTCCTGATCCCAGGGTCATGAGTTCAAGCCCCATGTTGGGCTTGGAGCCTACTTAAAAAAAAAAAAAAGAAAAAAAAAAGCAACATAAATCACAGAAAAATCTGCTCACCTAGTATAATACATCACAGCCTCCTCATAATCTCCTGAGTTGAAAGCTTCATTTCCTTTTTCCTTTTCACGAGTAGCAAGGGAAGTCTTTTCTTTCTCAGTTAGACCTAGAAATAAATTACTGCTATAAATAAAAAAATATATAATTGAATAGAATTTTAAAAAAATTTAAATCCAAGAATGCTTACTTCAACAGAAGCAGTAAATTGTGAAGGAAATAAAAGGAAATAGAAGGTTTCTTAAGTTTAGGAAATGTTTCTTTAAATCATCACAATTTGTGAGTGTTTAGATTTTTTCTATTATTGGTTTTACTTCACTTTAAAGGAGCTATACACCTATGGACTTCAAATGAAAACAAACTGCTGTATCTTTTTATTTTGAGGTAAAAGGAAAAAAAATGAGGTATCTGGAGAAAAAGAGGATTTGAAAAAAAGTGAAAAATTATAGTAAAAACATAGTTTTATACTTATATTTTTGAGTCTTACTAAACCTCAGTATAACTATTACTTATAAAATTAGGTAGTTAAAGGATGGAACTGAATTTGTTAGAGGTGGTCAACTCTAGGAGAAAATCCATGAACTTTTAATGGAAATCTGTACTGCTTAAAAAGAAGGTCTTCTAGACCTTCTAGACCTAATAGCTTTTACTATAATTTTTAAGATGTAAACTGTAAAGACTACTAAATTATTCTTATTTTTCCCCAATTACCTGCTGTGTCTATTCTTGTCTCAATTTTAGACAAATGTGACTTGTTGTTTACTACGGCTTTTTCTTTGTAATCTTCGTCAATTTTTGAACATTCTTTTTCCACGTCAAATCTTAAATGAAAGGAAAAAAACTGAAAAAATGTACATTCTAAGAAAATAAACTATATTTTTGATATTCTTATAGTTGTACCACTGTGCCTTTAGAGACATATTCTGAAAATGCGTAATAGGTTTATGCCACAAATTACCTGTTTCACTCTTAGAAACCATGCAACTCATTGAGGATCTACATGGGGTTTTTTTGTTTTGTTTTGTTTTTAACGTTTATTTATTTTTGAGAGAGAGAGACAGAGTGCAACCAGGGGAGGAGCAGAGAGAGAGGGAAGAGGATATACATGTTAATCAGACCGAAACTGTTCAGAACTTTGTAATTAAAATTATAATTAATTTATCTATTTAAAATTTTTGTTCCTTTTTCTTTTCAGTGGGCATAGGATTACCTATTTTTGGTTGCTTTTATAAACAAAAGGATGCTATAGATATTTATTCAGTGAAAAATGAAGATCAAAAGTGCTTAGACCAGATACTCTTAGTACTCTGCCAAAGTAACTTGGTAGTTCAGATTTATAATAATTAAGAGATTACTACAATATTCTATGATAGAGAATTTTTCAGTGACAAGTTTTGTATAAAGAAATATAAAACATACTTATCCCATTCTGCATAATCCCTTGGGATTTTCCTTTTAGTTGGTCTACTATTAGAATATTTTTCCTGAAAGAATAAAATCATATTTTATGAGACATATTTAACATAAGATTAGATTTTATGATAAACACAATGTGAAGTATTGGATTAAGACATACCAATTAAGAAAAATAGGTACTCTTGAAGTTATAACAACTCCAGTATTGTAACTATAACATACAGTATGTTAAAAAAGGATTTTAAATTGGTAGTTCATTCTGGGAGCGATCTACAGGACTTTAAGTACATATATAAAATTTAAAAACTTACATGTGTGAAATTTCATTTTTAGTGATTTTCTTGTAACAAAAAAGTAATGAACTATCATTCAGTCTTTTAAAACCTAGGCACTGGAGAAATAAGATTAACTACTTTGGTGCATTAGAATAGTTTTGTTTCCAATGACAGATTCCCAACTGGGACTAATTCTATTAAAAAAATAAACTATTGGCTTATGTAACCAAACTGATGAAGAGGCAGCAGTATTGCTAGATAAAAGATTCTGATACCCCCTCCAGCTCTTCCACTCTCCCCTTGTCCCCAGTCCCTGTTTCTTTCTGCCTACTGATTTCCTTTTCCCCGCTGGCTCTTCTTTTTCCACGTAGCAGGCATAGTGGCCACAAGCAGTGTGGGATTATAAACTCACGGGACTCCCAATCGGAAAGGAAAAGGAGAGGGCACCTGGGTGGCTCAGTCGGTTGAGCACCCGACTCTTGGTTGGTTCAGGTCCTGGTCCCAGGGTCATGGGATTGAGCCCCGAGTTGGGGTCTGCGCCGAGCATGGAGCCTGCTTGGGATTCTCTCTCTCCTTTTGCCCCTTTCCCTCTTTCTCCCAATCACATGCTCTCTCTCTCTCTCTCAAATTAAAATTAAAATTAAAAAATTAAAGTCTTTATAAAAAGAAAAAAAAAGAAAGGACGGAAGGAAGGAAGGAAGGAAGGAGGGAAGGAAGGAAGGAAGGAAGGAAGGAAGGAAGGAAGGAAGGAAGGAAGGAAAAGGAGAATGACTCCTCTCTAACTTCAGTTAGAGAAATCCCAGGGAAGGATTCAGGATTGGCTAGCTTGGGTCAGGTGCCCATCCCTAAGCAGGCACTAGCTCCCTGCCATTCAGCAGCCCAACCTCGGTCACATGCCCCCCACAAGCACCAGAAGTGAAAGAGAGGAAAGCAAACAATAGCCATAATGTTCAACAGTTTCTTAAATGGTTTCTTAAAAGTTAGTCACAATCTGAAACCACTTTGAATGGGTCATTTACCTATGCACAATTTTGTAACATTGGGCATCGGTCACTTGGAGTTATGCAGATCTTCCAAATATTCCTACATTTCATTTTACAGTTTAAAAATCTTGGGGCACCTGGGTGGCTCAGTCGGTTGAGAGTCCCACTTCGGCTCAGGTCATGATTTCACTGTTGGTGAATTTGAAACCAGCACTGGGCTCCCTGCTGTCAGTGCACAGCCCATTTTGGATCCTCTGTCCCCCCCCCCAAAATAAACATTTAAAAAGTAAACAAATAAAAATAAAAATCGTATCTGTTAATATCTGCATGGAGCTCATCAGAAAAGTCTTTAAGTATCCCCTTAAGGAGAAATTTTTTTGTCACAACTATTTAAGAGCCATATAAGATTCTGAAATACTCTAAGCTGCACTTGAAAGCTCAGATTTTATCACTAGCAAAAACCACTGTCAGTTCTTTTCCTTAAAGTGACACTCCCACTTGATTCATTTTCAATACAGTGTCTGTCAAACACCCAAGTCTGAATAACCACAATTTGTCTGTCAATCACTCTTTCAAGTTAAAAACTGTTCATGGGGCGCCTGGGTGGCTCAGTCGGTTAAGCGTCCGACTTCGCTCAGGTCATGATCTCGCGGTCCGTGAGTTTGAGCCCCATGTCGGGCCCTGTGCTGACAGCTCAGAGCCTGGAGCCTGTTTCGGATTCTGTGTCTCCCTCTCTCTGCCCCTCCCCCGTTCATGCTCTGTCTCTCTCTGTCTCAAAAATCAATAAACGTTAAAAAAAAAAAAAAAAAAAAAAAAAAAAA